AGAAGTCATTTCAATACATGCATAAATTACATTTCCTAAAAATAAATAATTATAATTAACAATAAAGAAAATTTAAATTATTCTTTAATAATTTCTAACAAAATTTAATGGGATATTTGTTGCGATAAATCTTCAGCAATTTTTTCAAAATTTGGTTCCCACGTTGTTAAATAGAGATTATAATTGTGTACTGACCTTGAAAGTAATAGCTACGAATTTATAACGTGCATAACAATAATAGAATCTTTCAATTTTTGTAACAAATGTAATGTCTAAATTTGCTAAATATCAAGTAATGCGCACGTGCAGTGACACGCATTGCATGGTGAGGGTATGATCCAGGCCTCGTTATTCCTAATACCAGTAGTCTAGTAAAAACACGAAAAGCCCAATCTTATCAAGCAATAATTATAGAATAGAAAAAAATTTTTTTTTCTATTCTAAAATTAATAATTGGTTAAATCGTAATTTTACTAGACTACAGGTTCACTCGGCACTAACGGCACAAATAGACAGGCAAATCAAGTGGATAAACAAGTTGTTTAGACTGTTAAAAGGGAAATCACTGTTCACACTGGGATATTTTAAAGCAAGTTTTTGTTGTTTCTTGTGTTAATAATTTACAGCAAATTGATTAACATACACCATTTTATAATGAAAGTTAGATGTACCCCTTCAATTTATGCTCGTACCCCTAGGGGTACATGTACCCCCAGTTGAGAACCACTGCTCTACTGTACTATATTTATAGGAAAATGTTACTTTTTTTGTTTTTCCAATTTTTCCAGTTGAAAGTTAGATGCATCTACATTTTTTTGAGCACAAGTCAGTTCTTGCTGTAACTTCGATTTCGTCTCTGTGAATTGTTTTTCTAAATCATACAAAGCTAAAAAAATAGAAAAGTTAAAATTATTACATATAAAACTAGGTCAGAATACTCATAAATAATAAATATGTATTGCTATGTTAGATATTATCTGATTTAATTTAAATTAAACCAAAATAGGTAATAATTCACAAGACTAATCTAAATATGGATAAATTTGCACAGTAGACAATAAGTTACAACTTGATCAATGTTCAAAGTTTCTAAAATTACTACCTTGCGTCTGATTTTTTATTTCATCTTTAAAGTTGTTCTCCTTTTCTTTAAATTTTTGTTCAATTGTTAATTTTACTGCTTCTGAATTATGCCTTTGGCATTCTAATTCTTTGGTTAATTGAATAATCTTTTGTTCTAAGCACATTATCTGAAAAATGAAAAAGATGATAAGTTTATCTTAACTGTTTTAAAATATCATCATTAATTTCAATTTAAAAAAATCTACGTAATTTTTAAATCATTAATATAATCTCTTATTTTAAAAAATTGAATTTATTAAAAATTATATAAATAAAATATTTTAATATTTACTTTTTCATTGGCCAATTCAATATCAATTCTTGATTTTTCTAATTGATCAGAATGTTTAAAACCATATTTACTACCACTTTGGGGAGTTTCACATTTCTGGTATTGACTTAATTCCTTATCTGATATTAAAAAATTAAATAAAATAAATAAATTACAATTTTAAAAAAATAAAAAAAAACTTACCTAATTTTTCTTCTTTTTTAGAATCAATTTCCATCAAATCATCACTCATTGTGAATTTATCAACCATATTTGTTGATTCTTTCTCTTTCGACTATTAAAAATATGTTAAATTAAAATTTGTATATTTTTTTAAAAAAGACATTGTATTAATAAACTGTTATAATATTGTTCAAAATTTTTAAAAAATTCAGTATCTGTCAACTAAAATGTGTGTATATGCATATAAATTTAATAAATATTTCATATCTTTAAAAAAATAAGGTAGCTTAATATCTCTTCCAATAAAAAAAGTTTTGATATATTACAAAAGCCTTCAATTACATAGCATGTAATCATTACAATAAAAGTGTTTTTACTTGTTCTTCAAATATGAGTTAACTGATTATGAACATGCACCAAAAATTTCTAACAGAATTTTGTTGAAAAATAAATGTTCATAGAACATTTAAATACTTGACCCAATGTTCTACCAGTTTCTGAAAGCATTCTGCATAAAAATTTGTTAATTGCTGTTTAAGTTTTTTAAGCAATAAAGATTCATTGCTTAAAACATATTCACCAATTCAATGCTCTTTTAAAGGTCAAAAAAGATGGAAATCACTTGATGCTAAATCTAAGCTATATAATCTCTTAGTTGGACCTTTACAAAACACTTAAACGGAGAACATCTTACAACCAATAATGATATTCAGAAATATGTAGTGGTGATTCTAACAGCAATCAACAAGCTTTGATGCATGTTTTCAGAAGCTGGTAGAATGCTGAAACAAGTGCTTGAATGTTCTTAGAAGTTTCGTTCAAAAATTGATGTTCTATATTAGACACTTTATTGCTTATTTTTTTGAGTGTTTATTTGTAACATAATTACTGACTTTCCCTCATCTATACTAATATTATAAAGAGGTAATGTTTGTAAGTATGTATGCATGTATGTAAGTTTGTTTGCAGCAGGTCATCTCCGAAACTACTCATCCAATTTCAAAAATTCTTTCACCAATATTTAGAATGGAACCTCAGGGTGGACATAGGCTGTATATTATTCCGTTAAACATTCATATAAATTAAAATATATAATCTAGGGTAAGGCTTTTATGTCCAACAGATGGCGCTACAAGTACGTACAGTTTGCTTTTCTGTGAAAATGAACTAAAGCAGATCATCTTCTATCTATCTATATAAATAAAAATGTAATGTTTGTTTGTTCCTACCGATTCCTTTGAAATTTTGACACAGCGCTGCATTCGAATACGCACATGTTTTTATATAATATACGTGTCGAAATTCCCTCCACTGAAGGGAGATGGTTAGGATTAAGGCTTACTGTAAAGAACTCTGCTTCTATTTATACTATTTTAGATGCGGTTTTTTGCGTTTTTGATTGTGTTTTAATAGGGTACGTCAACAGAATGTACACTAAGGAGAAATTTTTCGAAAAATTCCCCCCACAGGGAAGTGTTATAAATTTATAATAGATACATTTTGAGCCACAACAACGCATGGCGGGGTCTGCTAGTAGAATATAAAATGAAACATTGCATGTTTTCAAATATATGTAAATCTTAAGTCTTCATTTTTATTAACTTCAAACTGAACAACTTACTACACAAATTCTCATTGATAGTCCAGCAGTTGTCAAATATTCAAATTTCCTGATGAAGATCTTCCCATAAGGTTTAAAACATTAGAAAGGGGATAATTTTGACAACTGCTGAACAAATTAGTGAGAATTTGTGTAGTCTTCATTTTTTAAAAGAATAAGTAAAGATATTCTTAAATATTCATGGCCTGTGAGAATGAAAATTGCACTTAGCAAAATTTTATGATAGAATACTAATAGGAATTTAACTTTTCCCCTATACTGTTAAAATAAGAAAAATGGGCAAAATTTGCCTTTTCTGTTTTTTTTTTTTTTTTTGCAGAATAAACACAAATAAGTACAATATCATAAAAATGTAAAACATAAAAACAATTATTCAAGATTTGGTTCAATATCACGACTGAGTGCATTCATAGACACTTGGCAATTTTCACCATCAACATTTTATTTCAGAACTTTATTTGTCAAGATGCATTTTGTGCATTAGCCCCTCTTCAGTCAGCATTATAACTTGGAATAACATATATATGACAACTGAAATTACATCTATGTTATTCCGAGATATAATGCTGACCGAAGAGGAGCTAAGGCACAAAATGTGTCTCAACAAATAAAGTTCTGAAATAAAAAGTTGATGAAAATTGCCAAGTGTCTATGAATTCATCCAGTTGTGACATTGAACCAAACAAGAAAAAGAAGAGACAGTTTTGAAACATACAACAAAATTATTCATAAAACAATTTTCATTTTCTCTCATTGAATATAAACAGTAAAAAAGAAAAAAATATTACATATATTATTTCAGTGTTTATTCTATCAATACTTTTCTTGGATTTGTATCACGCCATTTATGCAACCTTGAATGTGGTTTAAGTTTTATTGAATTTGAAAGCTGATGAGCATATAAGATGACGTAAAATGATCAGGAAAAAAAAATCATTCAAGCAACATGTTGCAATTTTGCAATATGCCTAAAAATTGTATTAAATAACCATCATATTTGTGCTATTTTTTTCATAAAAAGGATCATGACCCAATGTGATATTTTATGCTCCACTATCGTGGCACTTAATGTGCTAAATAAATTACTTTAAATTGTATCATTAAATTTTAGTATCATATTTGAAATAATATACCAATATAATGCCAGTAATAATTAATAAATAATTATTATTATATGCAAATAAGTTCAAATATGCTATATGTAAACACAAAATTATAAAAATAGTTTACAAAATTGACTGCTAATTCAAGAAAGCAAAAGTCAAACTGAATTGCAATGTGTAATATTTAAAATGTTAACTATATTGTTTTTATGAAAATAACTTTTTCTCATGCAACAAATAATACAAATATCATTTTAGAATAATTTTAGTTTTATAAATTTACTTACCTTCATGTTTTCTTTTTGTAATTTTGATTGTGCTAAATGATTTTCAAGACATTTTATTTTTGAATCTTTAACATTAAGTTCTTGATGCATTTTCTGTAGTTTTTGTTCCAATTCACAGTTTGTTTCATTTAAAGATTGTTGTTCTCTCTCTACTTGTAACTTTTGCAACTTTTGTTCTTCTAACTAAATTACAAGTAAAAAAAATTAACATATTTCAATACATTGATGAAAATATAACAAGAAAATACTGTAAGCTAAAGTTTAATTTTTCAATTTTCTATATTCTTTAAGGCTGGTTTGTAGTCCATCTATGGCATGGTGTTTGAAGATTGCTAACCAGTGTTACAGTTAAATCCATTGTTTATAATCAAATCCAATCTTTTGATGTAGTAAAATACTGGCTCAAACTTTAAAAATATGTTAAGTCTGCTTTTCACATTATTGAAAGTATGTGTTGATTGTGTGTTCAAACAAGTAATTGACTAACCAAATGACTCTGAGGGTTGTCAGGGCATAATATTTTAATGCATGATTATAATAAATTTGCTGTAGTGAGAATTATGTAAAACCTTTCAGGCCAAAATTCATATTATAAACTGGAGAAGATGAAACTAGTACAATAAAATGATAGGTAGTTGAGATGTCATCACATTTTACATCCAAATACTTAGAATATAAGAATATATAAACAATGATACCTCAATTTTCGTCGATAATCCATCCGAAAACAATCAGTGAAATCCCAAAACTGACAAAAACCAAGGTGATTATTTCCATATAAATCAATGTATATCCAATTAATTCGTTCTAGACACTCCAAAACACATACAAAACACATTTTATAGAGAATAAATAGAGTTTAATACTAAAAACAATAAGAAATTAATATAAAATGAATATAAAAGACTAATGTAAAGAACAAACGAACATTTAACATGGCATTCGAAGGGCTGCTGGCTCTGGAAACTTTCTTTGGTCCCATGATAGAGCTTGTTTGTTTGTTTCGTTAAATTAAAGAAATGCAACACTTGTGTGATCTGCCTAGGGGAAATGCCTTCCAGAAGGACTTTTAAAGGGTAACTGGTCCCTATTCAGGCATTACAGACATGGAGAAAACCCAGAAAACTCCATATGGCCAGCCCATTCTGGCAAGGTGCTAACCCATGACCAAACTCACAGTGTTCAGGGAATGGAACCGCTTGGTCACTCATTGGTGGGCCTCCATGATGGAGCTAAAAGGAAAGGAAAGCAATGGAATTGTTTCACTAGACACAGGGTAATGTTCACACAATGACAAACACCACCACAGAATAGGAAAACATGTGGGTCACCTTTGTTTTCGCAAAATTAGCAGCAAGGTCATCTGGGCATACTAACGAAATCTGAGGCAACCAACAAAAACTAAGACAAATTTTTCACAAAAAAATTGACAAAAACCAAAACTAACAATAACCGAGGTCAATGAAAACCAAGATATTACCGTGTATATTATATTCTTATATTCTAGATATTGTGAACATATGTATAATTAATTTGTGAACATATGTAATAAATATATATGTAATTTAATAAATATTATATATATATTAAATTACATACATTCACAATACAGTAAGACCCTGCTTAATGCATTCCTAGATGACAAAGTGCTAAATAAAACAGTGTCAAATGAGGTCATTTTAACAGAGTAAATAGGGACAGGAAAACATGCTACCGAAAATAAATAAAATTTTACTTTAAGTTATTTTTATATTGATTTGCATAATAATATATGTTAAATAACACAAAGATATGCACACAGAAATGTAAAGTTCATTTTTTGTGATGATGGTTCTGACTTTTCTGAAATTCTTGTTTTTTGCAATGAAGTCATGAAGTTTCATTTGTCGCTTTTTTCTTTCCTTAAGCAAATGTCGATAGCAAGAGATCACATCCAAAACGCCTCGTTTTGCTTTTGCAGTCCTTTCAAAAACTGAATAATTCACTATAATTTGATCAATGATTTCGGTTATCATTACCAAACTTTTACTAAGAAAATCTGTAGAGAAATTTTTTGGGTTCTTTGTTTTCAGAATCTCTATTTTCCAGTTCTACGTGAATTCCTTGTTCTGCCAGTTGTTCTAGATGAAGGTCATCATTGGTAAGGCTCTCTCCAGAAACCTGCAGTAACTCCTCAATATCCATCCTGCTGTATTGATTAGGTTGACAATTTGGTCAACCTAACAATACAGTGATAGGCTCTTCTCGTTAAGAATTTTTAGATATCTTCAGTCATAACTTCTTTCACACTCTGTTCGTGCATTTATCAGTTAATTCTTGCCAAGCAAAGCCGATATTGTCTATAGCATCCATGATGTTTTTTTCCAAAATTGCACCAAACAAACATAGATTTAAAGAAAGTACACCTTTCTGCCACATTTTTCTGATTGGTTCATGTTTGTAAATAATCATATTATATACGAATCAATGAAATGCTGTGATAATTTAAATTGGCATAAATTTTGAGCTTTTTTTAGGTTTCGAGCAGACTGCATTATATCAAATCAGTGTTAAGCAGGGTCTTACCGTATCTATTTGCTTTCTTTATAACATCTTTGTAATCTAATACCACAGATTACAAAGATATAAAAAAAGCAAGTAGTATCTGGAATGCCACAACATTGCATATCAGTCTATAATTTGGCATCTAGAGCAAGGATACACAGACTGCGGCCCTCCATTGATTTATCCACCTCACATTATTTTAACTCTTAAATAATGCCCATGCTCGAATGTATTTGATCATAATTTAATTAATTAATTAAAAATTAATAAAGCTTCAAATTCCTGAAATTGATTCAAATAAAAGTTATTTACATTTTATTGAAAGTTTCGTAATTATATATCCAATAGAAATTTTTATTTTTTAACTTTTTTTTCAGTTTCCACCTTTAACAATGCTATTATATGGATAACTGAATAATTGGCAATCTGAGTATACTCAGTAAAGTCAACACATCTGGCAAGATAGCTATCTCCCTGTGTAGATTTTTGGAAATTTCCCGCAAAACACGAGTAACAGCTGTGGTAGATAACTTTCAAGTTTTCTTTTTGGCAACCCTCCCATAAATCACAGTGGATTTATGTGGCCCTTGGTCTTAACAAGTTTGTGCATTCCTGATCTAGAGGAACACTTAACAGAGCTCCATGAATTCTATTACCAGACCTCATTGCTGCAATTGGACTATGTGGCCATTACACAAATCATAATAGCAACTAATAACAGAAACTGAAGAAATCAATTTCAAACTTTTGAGACAATCTTATAAGCCAATAAACTGTCACTGTCAAACTTGTAGATATGCATGTTTGACAGTGACACTCCTTGAAAGAGGGAGCATTATGAGTTCAGAGAAAAAACTACAGGAGAAAGAGAGAGAGAGAGAGAGAGAGAGGTTTTGGAGACCAGGGCCCATATTTTGGTCATTGTCTCTCATCTCTTACAAGCCGGTCGCTGATTGGCTAATCATTTGTTTATGTCTCATGAGATTGTTACGTCTCTCAAAACGCGATTCTGGACAGCTTTTACTTTCGAAGATTCTCTCGTTTCTCAGAGATGAGTGGACAGTTGTCTTTTGACCCATCTTTCATCTTTTGCCTCAATTTAGTTATTTAGTTATGTCCAATATGGACGACTGGATGCTACTCGCACTGTACAATCATATTAGAGAACGTTCTCTACTTCGGGAAAGAATATTTCGAGAGAGAAAATGCTTCTGATTTTTTCCAGTGCCTACTCGAAAACGCTACTGATTCCATTTTTTTAAAAAATTATCCTACATCAATTACTGAACTATTGAATATGGTGTTAATCTTACTTAGATAGCTAAGGAGAAATTAGATGGTAATATTTCAAAAAATATCTAAGTACTCATGCTTAAGTGGTTAAAAAACTTAGGCTATTAAAATTGTTATTTGTTAAGAGACAAATTGACATTACAATCTGTAAAAATGTTATAAAACAAAAAACAACTTCATCAAAATTATGTGCTTTGTTTGAACACGTGCTTTCCTTGCCAAATGATCCATAATTATGCACTCTGCATTTTCAAAAATGTTACGATTTCATTGGTTAAAATTCTATACAGTAGACCCCCTATAACACAGGTTCATATAACACGGATTCGTATAACATGGTGAAAAGCTTGCAATTGTGTTCATATAACACGCTAAAAGAGACTCGTATAACACGGTAAAACGTCATTGCCGACTCGTGTCATGACAGGATTGGTCAAATCTGGACCAATAACGGACATTGCACAAACTGTTGAGTTTAAATGAGCAGCGGATCTACTAAAAACTATTTATTATTTAACGACCATAAAAATTATATTTATATTAATGATGTCGCCAAAGTTCAGCAAATTTTTTGCAGAAAAATAACTTATCAGGAAACACACGCCCACCGTTCGATGAGCTGCTCCGGGACGAAAACAAGCTTAAGCAATGGCATCATTGAACGGCATGCACTCGGTAAATAATCCTACAATTTTTTGTTTATAACATAATTTATATGGATTATTCCCAAAAAATTATACATATTTTGGAAATGTTGAGTCAAATTAGTCTAGAATCGATTAATTTTATGGAAGAAAGCCTTTCAAACAGTCGTAACCGCTAAACTGCACACGTGCTGGGCTGTGATTGGCTCATGTATTTAAGTGACTCGTACAACACGAAATTCATATAACACAGAACGTATCTACCGTGTTATAGGGGGGTCTACTGTACTGTGTTGCATGTGCAGATAACCCAAACATGTATAATCAACCTAGTAGAATGGTGATGTCATCAACGAAGACGAGATTGTTTGGTGTAAATAAGGTGTAATGGTAGCAAAAACAAAGTTTATTAGTCAACTTCTTTCTTCCATTATGCAACAGGACAACACAGTTACAAAAGTATTATTAGACTTACCTTTCTTTTTTGAATATCTAAATTTTGTCCCAAACTTTCTACTTGAAGCTGCTTTTGTTGTTTCTCCTTCTGTAATCTTTCAACTTGTTCTTCAAGGCAATTGATTTTTTGAACTGCCAAAGGAGGCAAATTTTGTTTCCATTCACTAGCAACCCAATCCATATTTTGTCAAGTCAATACTTTACACTTCAATCACCTATTATCACAAGTAGAGAATTAAACTTTACAAAATATGATTTTTAAATAATAAATATAAAATTAAATAAATAACTTTTGCTTGAGATAAATATAATTTTAAAAATATCTATGGTCAAAAAATTGCACTACTGACCGATGCGGTCAGTAGTGCAATTTTTTCAATACTTTTAATACTGTTTTAGTTATTTGTCGAAACCGTGTCTTCTTTTTCTTGTTTCTTCTGATTCTATGTCACGACTTGGTGCATTTATAGACACTTGGCAAATAATTCCATCACCTACATTTACTTCTTACAGAAACGCGTTTCGGGCTTTCGCCCCTCTTCAGTCTGTTACGTCGATAGTTGTGACTTGTGTGTCCGTACTTCCCGCTCCCTTCCCCTCCCCTCTTTTTTCCCGACTTGANGTTCGATGAGCTGCTCCGGGACGAAAACAAGCTTAAGCAATGGCATCATTGAACGGCATGCACTCGGTAAATAATCCTACAATTTTTTGTTTATAACATAATTTATATGGATTATTCCCAAAAAATTATACATATTTTGGAAATGTTGAGTCAAATTAGTCTAGAATCGATTAATTTTATGGAAGAAAGCCTTTCAAACAGTCGTAACCGCTAAACTGCACACGTGCTGGGCTGTGATTGGCTCATGTATTTAAGTGACTCGTACAACACGAAATTCATATAACACAGAACGTATCTACCGTGTTATAGGGGGGTCTACTGTACTGTGTTGCATGTGCAGATAACCCAAACATGTATAATCAACCTAGTAGAATGGTGATGTCATCAACGAAGACGAGATTGTTTGGTGTAAATAAGGTGTAATGGTAGCAAAAACAAAGTTTATTAGTCAACTTCTTTCTTCCATTATGCAACAGGACAACACAGTTACAAAAGTATTATTAGACTTACCTTTCTTTTTTGAATATCTAAATTTTGTCCCAAACTTTCTACTTGAAGCTGCTTTTGTTGTTTCTCCTTCTGTAATCTTTCAACTTGTTCTTCAAGGCAATTGATTTTTTGAACTGCCAAAGGAGGCAAATTTTGTTTCCATTCACTAGCAACCCAATCCATATTTTGTCAAGTCAATACTTTACACTTCAATCACCTATTATCACAAGTAGAGAATTAAACTTTACAAAATATGATTTTTAAATAATAAATATAAAATTAAATAAATAACTTTTGCTTGAGATAAAATATAATTTAAAAAATATCTATGGTCTAAAAATTGCACTACTGACCAATGCTTTCAATACACTGTTTAGAAAAATCATTAAATAAAGTTTAACTTGCATAAATTTGAGCTTATCTTATTCTTAGTATATTTTGAATAAAATTAATTTGTTTTGATGCAATTTAATCCTTATAAGCATAAAATTAAGCCATAAAACTGAAATAGCTCTATGAGAGAACCTTGTGAACTTTGACCCATTGACCCAGAAGTTTTGCTGATAATGAAAAAGGTTTAAGTTTAAAATTTGAGCTTTCTAGACCCAGTAGTTTACTCTATGAGAGTCTGCAGTGCTAAATGAAGATGAAGAAAATACAGCTTTTTTGGCAATTTTTGCACTTTTAAATTGCTTATATTTCAGCAACCGCTTTATAGAAAATCTTGAAATTTTGTACACTACCTAAAACAACAATTACCTTTCAAACAAAATATTTGGAATTACTTTACATGTTTGTAGGGTAGAGAAATTAATCCCTGAAAATTGGCAACTCTGATTCATATATATATATACAGTAAGGTGACTTTTTTACTTGGTGGGGAGTCATTGCCATGCCTCTCAATAAGCTATCTGTTTGGAAAATTTCTAATCTCCCAGAGACAATCAATGATATTTCTTCACTGATATCACATTTAAGATATTTTACTTAATCCTATTTTTAAATATTTATATCAGTCAAATATGTATTGATAAAACTACTTTATTCACTACTATTTTTAAAATAAACTGAATGAAATCACTCACTAATAAAACTGATTATTGTGTAATTTACTATTAGTATTTAAAGTGTTTGATCTGCTGATTTACAAAAAGGTTATTACAGTAGAGCATTGATTATCCGAAAGTCAATTATCCGAAAGAATTCCAGTCGGCAAATTTAAATTTTCGCCAGTGCTATGGCACTGCAATCTTTGGCTATGTCTTGGGCTACTCAAATATTTACGTTTTTGATACTAAATTAACTTTTGAAGTATAGTTTTTTATTGTTTTTATATTTTTCAATATATTTATTTTGTTTGTACAAAATAAAAAAATAATTTTTAACAATACAATAGTCTTCGTTAGGCTTAACATCGACGAAAATTCAACGCAAAGTGACACGCAACTGAGAAAAATTTCAACATGGGATAAATTAATATATTTTTTTGTACATAATCGATTATACGAAATATTGATTTTCTGAACAACCCGAGTCCCCAATTAATTCGGATAATCGACGCTCTACTGTATATGAGTATGAATGGAATAAAATGTTTTATAATGTCAGCATCTAATTAGTTCTTAATAAACAAAGATTAAGATACTAAAATATTATTTAAAAAAGAAAAAAACTACATTATACTAAAAATTCCTGAAATTAGCAGAAATACAGAGGTGCCAACCTAAGAAAAAGGACCACGAGTAGCACATGATTATATGTTATGATTGAAAAGCAAGTGGATGGGCTTTTCCAGCGCTCCCAATCATATTTTTAGATACAAGCTTCTGACTGGAACAATTTTTAAACATATCCTGTCCTGTTTGAAAACTGTCTGTATATTCCATATCATTTAAAGTGTTAATACTTACACATTATTTTTATTGCCTGTATTAAACTGTATTAATACAGTTTACAGGCGGTCATTGGTGGGTTTTATTGCCTGCATTAATACAGTTTAATACAGGCAATAAAACCCACCAGTGACCGAGTGAATAAAACCACTGAACACTTGTAGTTAGTCATAGGATAGTGCCTGGAAAGAAATGCTTATGATATTGTTTTGAAGCACCAAGCTTATCTTTACCAAAGAAAAGCTCCCAAGAAAAAATTTTACTTTCATTTCAAATGCAATAATTTTCACTTAGTGCAATATTTTTTTTATATCTCATATGCTTTACTTTGGATATCAATTGTTTTTTTTTGACTAATTTGATTAATTTTTTCATTGCACTTCTATTAGTTTTGAGTTATTTATGACAATTTATTATAGCTTCAATAACATAATTCAGTCTTAAAGCAGCCAATAGAAAAACAATGAAAAAAGTTAAACCAAGATCAGAATCTAACTGCAACAAACTAAAAGAGGAAGAGAAAACTGCAAAATGCAATTAATAGGATTTTTTCAGCTTATTATTCACTGGTTTAAATTCTCAGGACATGATTGCACCCATTGGTTCAATATAATCAATTATTTTTCTTCCAAATTTCTATTTTAAAATTCTACTATATATTCCAGTTTAATCAACCATTGGTAAGAAATTAACTATTCCCTTTAATTGATCATTTTCATTAACAGTTTCTGTGGATTTTTTAAGTCTAAAATTTAACTATTCCCATTGAAGTCAGAGCAAGAGAAACTATTTTCTGGATCACTTTATTATGTCATTCATCAAATTGTTGCTTTTTGCATTTTATCATATTTTTTTCTTGAAAATAATTAAATTTAAATCAATTTTTCATTATTAAGTAATAAAAGTGGAATTCTTTTGGCTATTAAAATGTAGTGTATTTCTTTATGTACTCAAAAGTTTTTCCAATGTAAATTTGTTACATCCATTTTTTGATTCTCGCTATCATTTTTAGTACGACTTTTTTTATACAGAAATTTTAGATAAAAATATTTGGATACCCAGTCATATCTTTCATATAAAAGGAATCACAGTGTGACATTTTAAAATAGGGTAAGGTTGGAGTTATACATTGTAAATTTTTCAGAATTGAAGTTGGACTTTTTGTTTACTGACTCCACCACACTGATATATATATATACTCTATCAAATCATTTCTCTCATAGTTGTGAAACTTTAGCCTATTTGATTCAGAAGTTTGGAAATTCTGTAATCTGCATCAGATCTTGGACTTTTTCCAAGGGTCAGGTTTTCCAAGGTGCAACCTTTATTTCATCAAGTTTTGAATTATCTGAGATTTACATATTCCATGAAAGCAATAAAATTTAAATAGCTGTACATGACAATTTATACTATCAATATTAGAAAAAGACAACATACACCACTGTCTGTCAGCATTGCATAAAAATATTTATTTTGTGAGTACTTTTGACAGTTATATACTATGTCGAAAGTACTCGCAAAATAAATATTTTTATTTAATGCTGACAAACAGTATGTTATCTTTCTCTAATAATTTACAATTTACATATTTATGTAAAATATGCCATGTAACTGATGTAATTTATTAAGAAAATGGAATACAGTTATTTATAGAGAATGTTATTTTTGTTAATTAATAATTAATAATAATAATATAAATAAATTGCAGGTAAACAGCATGTGTACGATAAGATCCTCACAGACTGCCAGATAGATTTTATAAAAAGTAATGTAGAATGCTTAGAAATGTAGCCCAAATTACCTTTAAAGTGGCCCAAAAAGTAATAAGTCATCTAAATGTAGTAGCCTATACAAATATCTCAATCTGCTACTTGCAGTCTAATCTTGCAATCTTGAAAACCTGCCAATTTCATGATAAGAGAAAAAAGGGTAGTCCACAGGTAAGATGACACCCAAAAATGTGTTACTATAAAAACAAAGCCATATTGACCAGATCAGAGTTGTTCTTGGTCTATTGTTCTCTTATGGTATGGAGGCATTTCAATCTAAACGAACGAATTAACATAACCATACCAAAGTTTGGACAGAATTTTTACTTTGAATTTCAAATTAGCCATATTTCAAACTAACCAAATTCCTTAACTGTAAATCTCTATATCCCAGCTGGAACAAAAGTACAACTAACAGGATTCTGAACTATCCAATTTCAAATTAACAAGGATTTCTGTACTGCTTCTGCATCCATGTCCAGTATCCACTCATATGATCTCAAATTTTTTGGCAACCTGATGGTATAGAAATCACTGTTGTATCCTCACAAAAGTAACAATTTCTACAGAAAAGTGATAACTACAGTATATATAACATAAGATACCATTCCAATAGAAGATATGGGTCTCACCTATTTCTGATAGGTGATATATGGCTCCTATCATGACAAGGCTTGGCCACCCTATGCATATAACAACTCAATTAACAGATTAGAATGATGTTAAACATATTTGCAATCAAAAATAGAGCATTTTTGTTAGAAGAAGATTTTAACTTAAATGACTACTAAAAATAGAATATAACTTTCAAAGTATAACCATATATAGTAGAATGTCTTTAGAACAAACAAAAATAAATTTTGTATAAAATAATGGAATTCTATCAGAAATAACCAAATACACAATTTTTTTAAAAATAATTATTTTTTATTTATGTTTTAATTTAATGTACAGGTACTTTAATATAAAAATTTTGTTCTAATGAAAATTATTCCATTGTATATATTTAATTTTAAAGTTTTAATCTATTATAAATGCTTATTTGAATTTAAAATTTGTTCTAACAAAAATTTCTTCTTTACATGTACTATTCTTACTTTCAAATATTTTATTATTATTATTCTCAGTTATTAAAAGCTGAGAATGACTATGTTTGGCCAAAAATATTTTACTTTTTTTGTAAAGAAAAAAAATTAAAAATTAAGGATGAAATATATATTTAAAAAACATGTAAAAAATTACAACATTGAAGGCTTATACAAAAAGAAAAACTTTCAAAGTTTTCTTAAACGTCTTTTCACACTCATTGTAAATAATTTTTACAATGAAATTTTGAAGATAATCATGGAACTTTTAAACTATTTACATAAATAAAGTTGGGGAAGAGCCTATAAAAGAAGGTCAACTCCACCAATATTGATTGTACTCTAGTAATAATCCCAAAGCCAATGTATTAATATGTGTTAATATATCAGGCTTTGGGATGTGTATAAATTACAAAAAATTGCTTTTAGCCCTTGATATAATTAAATTAAATAAAACATCTACAAACAGGAGGCAGTTCATAAGTGCTAACCTATTATTGCGCTAACTTATAAATGTTTGTATCAGTACCCTGTACATCATGTCATCTTGCAACATTATGAAGATTTTTTACACCTGTCTACAATGATGATGCTTACTGCTTATACTGTTATAGCAGTGTGTTTATCTTTATCTTGTATAATTTTAAGTATATTAACACCTTTAAATTAATGCCAACTGAAATGCATTTTGGTTTCTTTTGTTTTCATACTTATGTAGTCAATATACTGTACATTCCCTTTTTTGTTTTTATTAAATGTTCTACTTTGATTCCTGAGTGTTTATGCCTATTACCACTGGTGTGATAAGCCCTTACTATTATCTGCCTCACATTTGTAGATATTTAATTTAATTTAATGTTTATATATGTGTTCCAGTGGTTGTGAAAGGACATTTAAGAAGACATCAAAAGTTTTTCTTTTTGTATAAGTCTTCAATGTTGTATACAGTAAGACCCTGCTTAACTCTGCCTCAATATAATGCAGTCTGCTTGAAATCTAAAAACAAACTCAAAATTTATGCTGATTCAAATTATCATGGCTTTTCATCAATTCATATATAATACAATTATTTAAGAACATGAACCAATCAGAAAAAGGTAGCAATTTGTCTTAGTGTTAAATCTGTTAATTTGTGCAATTTTGGAAAAAATATAGCATCTTGGATGCCATAGGCAATATCGACTTCACTTGGCAAGAACTAACTGATAAATGCATGAACGAAGTGTGAAAGAAGTTATGGCTGAAAGTATCCAAGAATTCTCAATGAGAAGAGCCTATTGCTGTATCGTTAGATTGACAATTTTGTCAACTTAAATCGATACAGCAAGACTAGGAGATGTAGACGAGGAGGATATTGAGGAGGTACTGCAGGTTTCTGATGAGAGCCTTACCAATCGGGACATTCCAATTTTCAATGCGAGTGTTGAGTGTTGAAGTCAACAATTTGACGTCATCAACGACATTCCAACTCGAGTATGAAGTGCTTAGTTCCCATAATTCCATTCTCAGCAAGATGGATTCCATTCAAATATCTTACCAATTACCCACAATTCATTGGAAAGTAGCAGTAAACATATCTGTTGAGTGCTGAGTGTGTTGAGTCAGCGCTGACAACAGCACTACCTCAACGTTGAAAAAAGGAACGAATTTTAACGAATGTTGAGATCAGCGCTGAGTCAGCGTTGAAAATTGGAATGTCCCGTATGACAACCTTCAAGAACTAGCAGAACAAGGAATTCATATAGAACTGGAAAATAGTGATTCTGAAAACGTAGAACCCAGAGAATTTCTCTACAGATTTTATTAATAAAAGTTTGGTATTGATAACCAAAATCATTGATCAAATTGTAGTGAATGATTTTTTGAAAGGAGTGCAAAAGCAAAACGAGGTGTTTTGGATGTAATCTCTTGCTATTGACATTTGCTTAAGGAAAGAAAAAAAAGCGACAAATGAAACTACATGACTTTATCACAAAAAACAAGAATTTTAGAAAAGCCAGGACCTTCATCACAAAAAATGAACTTTACATTTCTGTGTGCATATGTTTGTGTATTATTTAACGTATTTATGCAAATTAATATAAAAATAACTTAAAATTAAAGTAAAATCTGTTTATTTTTGATTGTGTGTTTCCCCTTCCCTATTTACTCTATGTTAAAATCACCTCATTTAATGCTGTTTCGTTTAGCATTTTGTTGTCTAGGAACAAAAATCCCACGTTACGAGGAGTCTTACTGTATTTTTAACATTTTTAAAATTTTACTTTTTAGTTTATGTATTGGTCATCTGAAATAGTTTTTGTTTATTCATCATCACTGTATCAAATTTTGAGAAATTTTACAATTAATGGAGCTGTCAAATTATGTCATAACTCCTAACATTTACAAGAAACATTATAAAATTAATACTTAAAAACAACTCTATCAAAGATTAAAGATGCTTATTCTTATTTTTGAGAGGTTTTTTTTTATTTCTTTCTTTATATTTTTGCTTACCTTGAACTGACAAATTGTATTCAGTTCTTACACATTTTAAATTCTTTAAATATATTCTGTATTAGTTTCAATTTATAATTTAACTTTTCTATACCTATGGTGTTCTAAGATAACAATTTATTGCAAATACAACAAAGATTATGACATACAGTTTGTAAATTACCAAAAACCACTAAAATCAATTTAAATTTAAAGTTCAGAATCTCGAATAATACGTTAGGAATTTGAAAATATTCAAAGCATTCTATCAAATAAAATAAAAGAAGGAAAATATTTGAAAATTGACATGCTACTTGAAACGTAAATAAACTGTTTAGAATTAGAAAATGTTACGATCTGAAATAATAAAATCATTTTTATGACAATTTGAGTTAATTACTTGGAAATTATTAAGTATATTATTCAAATTAATGCTTTAAAAATACTTCCTGAATTATACCGAACTTCCATGTTTAAGTTAAAAGAATGTGAGTGATACCATTTTTAAATTACATTTCAATCTTTACGTCAATAATTCTTTATCATCTTACGAAATATCGTTCATCCTGTCTAGTTCTACAATATTTCATATTAAAACAAAATGATTCATACCACAAAATATTCTTATATCAAATGCTAAATACAAATCCCTTCTCTTCTAGAAAATTTCATTCCACGTTACATTTCAAAAATCGCGTCTCGTCTCTGATTGGACAGATAACAAAACGTCATCATTTGTTTTGTAAATTCTAACCAATCAACACACCTCTTTTTTATTCTTTTTTTTTAGTCTTGATAACATCAACACGAGTTCGCATTTTTTCAAAAATTTTATAATTGAAAATATTAATTTTAAAATTAAAACTTATTTATTAATTCTAAAATAAATTTTAAAAAATTCTTAAAATTGAGAAGACCGATTTCGATTTCTGTTTCTGTTTCGGTATTTGAACTATTTAATTGCACGAATCTATTATATATTTGCAATTAATCAATTAACTTTAATAATTATTAATTATTTAACTATTCTGACATAATTTCTTTTTAAATATTTTTCTTCACTTTGGACACTACAAGAGTAGTTGACGGTCGGATGACCGAGCGGTCAATGTGACAGCCTACCGCTCTGGGGGACCCGGGCTCGTATCCTGACGAGTCGAAAAATCCCCAGGAATCTTTCGGGAGGTGGTCCGTCTGGATATGTCGGTCCCCGTCTCTTACCACCCGACCGCCCCCATTGTGGGCCTGGCCAAACCCATAATGGGCCTGCTATAAGAGGCCCTATTAGTGCCCACATGGCAGAAAGAGTAAAAAAATACCTGGACTATCTGGCTATCTTTTTTTTTAACATTTTATGCCTGTGGGCACTAAGAGACCTTTTAGCAAGCCCATAATGGTTCAGCCAGGCCCACACTGGGGTAACCGGTTAATGTGGGATGGTACTTATCATATCCGAATAGTTCACCCCCGAAAAATTCCTGTAATTTTTTGACCAGTCCGGATTCGATCCCGGGTCCTCTAGAGCAGTAGGCTGCCTCCTTAACCGCATGGCCATCCGACCGTTCATTCTCCCGTCTGTGTAAACCAAAGTTTGAGTAACTTTCGTGCTTTCGTTTTTTACGAATATTTACACTAAGATGTATACTTTTTTCTTTTTGAAAAGCTTATTTGTAGAATTTGTCATTAGTTAATAAATTTACTTAATTAAATTAACCATTTTATGCTTGCTGAGAAATGTTTACACAAACAGAAACGTTTCCGACCTCACTCCGATCAGGTGTAGAACATTGATTTCTCATCAAGCATAAGATGAAGTAAATGTGTTTATCAAATTAAATGGGTTAACAATTTCTCACTATTGGGTACGTGATTTTGGTATGAATTTGTCATCAATTCATTTAATACAAATGTAGAAAGCTGAACTTTGCACGGAGACGAAAAGCTAGCTAAAAGTATCAGTACTACAGTAATCAATCAAGTTAAATCAAAACGATTGATTACTTCATTGAAATCAGAGTTTATTTTTACGTTTTCACCAAGTTGAACGAGTCAGTTTAGTTCGAAATGGCGTCAAGTTGTATGTGAAGATATTGACAGGGATGGCCCGAGACGGGTTCAGTGCGTTCTTCAGAAACCTCAACGCTCTAATTCGTTTATTATTATTTTTTTGTTTGATGAAATAAAGCAATGTGACAAGAGTGCAATCTGCCAAAGTGTAATACCTTTCGAGGAGACTTGCTTTAGGAAATTGGCCTTCATTTAGGTGTTAAATACGTAAAGAAAACCCAGAAAAGTTCTTTCGGTCATCCCGCCGATCAGTTTTAATTCGTAGTAGGGAAATTAAAAAAAATAAAATAAAAAAATTAGTAAGGTTTATTAAAGTCAAAATCTGAAGTGAATAAGTACTTTAAATGTTATTTATTCTACAATAATTACAGAAATTTTAAGTTTCTATAATAAAAAAAAAATTATTATTATTATAAATATTTACAATTACGTATGAAACTTTTATTTATAAAATTGTTATTCATTAAAAATAATAAATTTTACATTATTTTATTTTCATTAAACAATTTTAAAGTAATTACAAACGGCCGGATGGCTGAGTGTTAAAGTAAAGGTCTACCGCTCTGAAGTATCCGGAAACGAATTCGGCGGATAGAAAAACCCCAGAAATTTTTTGGGAATGATATGTCAGGTCTCGTCCCTCAACACTCGACAGCCCCCATTGCGGGCTAACCGAACCCATGATGGACCCAAGGAGAGAGCTGCAGGAACTTAATTCCTCCTCCTTGAAAAACACCTTAAAATGTATTTGTTTGAACTTCAAAACGTTGTTTTTATTAAAAATGTTTATGAAGGCAAATGTAGTTTATCAGATCATTCACAATACAATCGCCGTCACATATACTTATTAATTAATTATTAAAATATTTTTAATTTTTGAGTTTGTCCGCTTTGGGTACTCCCGGATCTAATACTGGAAAAAGACCCTCTTACAATCCACAGATCGGAAAGAGTAAAAAAAAAATCAATTTATATAATCAAATTGAACTTTTATGAGAATACACATTGAATTGATAATATTGCAATATCAAAAAATAACAGAATAAAGACATTGTGCTATTGAAAAGCATAAAAATTGATTACAAAATAAATGAATAATGTACTTTGACAGTAAGCGTCACTCAAGAATGGTGAAAAGGAAAATGAAAAGCAATAAACCGAAGTTTACATTAATGAATCAGAACGCAATTGTGTAAAAAAACGATTAAAACATTAAATTTCCGTGAATTAGAAAGAATTAAGAACAACTGACCTAAATAAGTTTTCATTAAAATATAATTTTTGTAGGGATAAAATAGTTTCAAAAAAGATGAAATATGTTAATTAATTTGCTTTACAAAATTTTCATTTATTTTTCAAAACTTCAATCTGAAATTTTAAAAAATGTTTGTATTTTCCTATTTGTCAACCGGTAGATCTTTATAGCTATTAAACATTAATGTGATAACAATGTTGTTGGGAAACTCATATGCTTAAGTTACTACATAGCATATAAGTTAATTAAATATATAGCCTATATATGCTATATAAACATATGTGTATAAGGTTAGATAAGCTTGTATGTAAATGAAATAAGCTAGGCGATATATAACCGTCTATTAATTTTATATAAATTAATTAATGCTTGTATATACAAGTAGAGTTAATCAACCAGTAGATCGCGAGTTACTGATTGAAAATAAGTTTTTTAGTTAGAAAAATGGATTATCAAGCAGACAAAAGCCCTACACTTTGTGTAATAAAATATATCATTATACGTAGAGTTTTATATACAAGATATCACAGTATCTGCTATAAAATATTTGTGTAGATGTATAATCATGAAATGACTCGTAACTAAGGTGAATGACGAAACAATTTACACGAATACAAGACGGATGTGCTAAAACTTTTCCTTATCGGATTTGCATCAATACAATTAATTAAAAATAAAGAACTAAGTTAAAATAACAATCATAATCGCATTATATTTTATTTATTTTCTTCATTTTTATTAACTCGTTTTTAATTAAAAGGTAACCGCTTCGTCCTTGATTAAACAGTTTTTTTCCGAATGAGAATACACCGGACGAATGATTTTAAATAAAGAAAAGAATACATAGCGATAAAAAAGTAACTTAAAAAATGAAATTTGTTCTAAATTCGGACAATAATACCGCGGAACAATAGTAAATGTTACCTAAGACAGGTTTTCCAATGATTTACCAAGAATGCACACTAACTACTTTACCTAGTTAACATAATTTTTGTAGCAATTGTAGAAAGGAACACATTTCTAGAAAGTAGAAAAGAACACGAGGAGGAAAAAACTGATATATTCAAGAAAAAAATCGATTTATTTACTTTCGGAATATATCACTTTCACATATTACTTCCCCCTTGGCAAAATATAGGTGTAGATCTGGGTTGCGTACAGAGTAACAGTCATAGCTTAGAAGGAAGGGAGATGGAAGAGGATCATGATTTTGATGTTTCTCCGCAATGTATCGAATTAATCAAAAATGCCATACATCAATTAAGTATAGAAGATAGAACTGATTATACTTTTATAGTATTAGGAGCTTCGGTAAGTGTATTTATTTAAGTTTTTACAATATATTGACCTAAATTGGTTTAAATATCAGTCTACACGTTGGTTTTTACATTGGCATATTGGCTTATATATAGGTGTTTCCTAATTATTGGATAATTGTCATAAGTAAAATACAAAGATATTTATCAATTTCAAATTAAAAACTGAGACATGTCCATTTCATTTTAGCAAAGAATTCATAAACCATAAACAATTTATAAAATTCATAAAGATTGAGATAAAAGAATTTAATTAAAATAACATGTTTGAATTTCAAATATAATTTTTAACTGTTGGCCTGAATTGTAATTGTATTGATTTAATGTTGTTCATAGTTAAGTTAAATATGTTTAAGCACTACATATATCAATAAATATGTAACTGTATTTGAATCTTGAGTTTATGATATTTAAAAACTTGAATAAAATTTATATCTTGTATCATGATTTATTACAATTTAATAATGATGTTAAATGTTAAAGATAGGTGTGACAAATTTAAAATGATAAATGTAAAGAGAATTGCCAAATTTAAACTGCTAATTTTATGAGATTCTTTCCAATGACTACAAATCTTGACAAGTGTTTATTAAATCTGATTATAATTAATAAATTTAACTATATATCTATTTATTTCTGTTTACTTTCAAGTTTTTTTTTAATTAATAAATTAATTCTTCATGCATCACATATAATTCTAAATATTAATTTAGGATTATATGTGATGCATAAAGAATTCTATGCAAGAATTCTAGTTCTGTATATAACTTTCAAAACATCTTAAATTAATTAAAGAATTTGTTAGAAAAAAGAGAGAAAGGTGTTTTGAAATGTGCATAAAAAATTATTTTATTAATAGAAAAAAAAATTAAATTATAAAGTATAATTTAAGTTTACTAACTTATAATTTTACTTTATAATTTTACTTAAATTATAAAGTATAATTGAGCATATCTGTTGATTTTAAGTCCTTAAAACTTGTAATTTTATAATTACATTCATTCTACTGAATGTAGATGAAGTAATATATATATATATATATATTTATTATTATAACTATTCAAAATATGAAAATTTAAAATTATATACAAAGATTTATATTGAGGGAAATGATGTTAATGTATATAATTTTAACAATAAACTGTTATTTTCTACTAAATATTTCATTCTGACCTAAATGGTTGTTCCAAATTCAAACAGGTTATAGATTTTTATCAATTTATTTATTTGAAATAAAACATAAAATAAAATTGTTATTATTTTTATATACAATAATTTATCATTCAAAATAAAAATTTTTAAGATTGTTTTTGTTAAATATTTAATTTTCTAAGGAAATTTACTTAATGTTATCACCATAATCTATTGTAATAATGTATATTGTATTATAGATTTAACTACCATTTTTTTCTGTTGCACATAGAAAATATACTGTATATATTTCTAGACAATTGGAATAGTCATAAAATATATAATAGACAATATTTATCTGATCTTATTATATATTTTTCTTTATTAAAAGTAATATGTATCTATTCATGTTTGAATATTATTTATACAACTGATATTCTAGGGGCAATAAATTTCTGAGAAAAGTAGTTTAAATTGAATTTGTGTTTTAAAGAACTTCCTTAACAAATGTAGTACATTCATATTTATTTCATAACATTACATTCATAATAGACACACATTCTAAATACAGTCTCAAAACCAATGATTTTTAGACTTTCATGACAACACAATGTTGCTACAAGTTTCAGGAATCTTGTAGCTTCCCTAGATACTGTAATAAATTATTTAAAGTTTAAATTATTGGGTATCAAGGTGTGTCACACATACCAAAGTCAGTGCCAGCTTCAAAAAAAAAAAAAAAATTTGAAAACCATTACTCTAGATGTAAATAACCAAGACACACCTTATGAATTCATTGTTGTTATATCCTAGATTTAACTATTAGTTAACAGATGAAATTTGTGGAATTTTTTAATGTAATTTATACTGTTAATAATAATAATGCTTTATGTAGAAAACTACCAACGAGTGCTTATACTAAAGATAAAAATACTAATAGAAACCTAACATTTATCTTTTTTTTTTGAATTATTTATAATCATTGAATTTAGAGCTATTTTATAAAACTGAGAATTTCTTTTTCAAAGAGCTTTTATTTTACCAAAACTCTTCAGAAAAAATTTACCAAATATCATAAAAATACACAAAGTATAGCCATCCAAATGGAAATTTGGATGGCTGTACTTTGTGTATTTTATGATATTTATGAATGTTCTTCAGAAAAAATTTACCAAACATCTTATTATGCTTAAATTAAATTAAAATGTAATGTAATTCAAATGCATAGGTTATTTTGAAATAATGCTTTTATTTTTGTTTTAAAAAAAATATATAACTGCACTACTTTATATGTAGTAATTATCTCTTCAAGGACTTACGTCAACAATTATGTGTTCAATAATAATATATACTAAAATTAATTAATGAAGAAAATGTTTGTTAAAATAGAGTTAATATCATAGTAGAATGCATAATTATTTTAGTAATAACAAAATTTTTCTTTTGTTTCTTAATAATGTTTTAATATAAATATAACTACAGTAGAGCATCGATTATCCGACCCCCGATTAACCGTCACATTGGTTAACCGACCTATCTAGTTGGCAAATGTCAAATGTCCACTAGTGATGTGGCATTACAATATTTGGCTATGTCTTGGCTACTTTAATATTATTTTTGTTAAATTTTTGCATGTTTTAGCTGGCATCAACGGTTCGACCATTGAAGGGAGGCCNTTTTTGTCAACTTTCACTCCTGATGATTTCTTGCTTTGTTTCAATTGAAATCACCTTTCTGTTTTTTTAGAAGCCATGATGCATTATAAATGACTTAACTTGCCAGATTATATGATACGAATAATTCTTTATTAATTAAGATCACTAAACACTTCTACGAGCTACTCTCGCTCCGTTTGTTTTTTACAACCTCTTTTCGTCCCGCCACCTCGGCATCTACACAATTACATTTCGTTTATTTGAATCGTCAACATATACTGTATTACATTACATTTAATGTTTATTTAAATCATCAACATATATTACATTACATTTCTACTTCAGATATACTAATAATACATTCTAATAATACTAATATATCCTAAAAATAGCAGATTGTCATTGGCAACGGCAAAAGAGTGGAAACATCATTCGCACTTGTTCGAAGAAAGTCCATTGTTCGCCTCACGTAACTGCCGAACGGAAAGTCCGTTGTTCGCAGCAAGTCCGTTGCTCGAGTCACGTAACGGTCAAACAGAAAGTCCGTTATTCGCAGCGTCCGTTATACGAGGCACCACTGTATTTGTGTTAAAAGCGGAATACAAACTCATAAGATATTTCTTTTTAAAAAATTGGCTGACAGATTTATACATTAGTAAAAATATGTAGAAAGACTAAAATGTCGAGTGTGAAGATATTTTAATCTTTCTACATAGTTTTACTCATAATCTAGCAAAGTAAATCAATATCTTAACATATTCACATTGGTCAGAAATAAAATTTATATTTATAGACCTAATATGACAATATCTTAAGAACCTATCAGAATGTTGGAAAATATAAAAATATATTTCTGTTAAAGTTTTTAATATAGCCATTTTTTTTAAAACTTATTATTACAATGAATAATTGTCACCTTATGATACTTTCACTCAAACCAGTCCTCTTACCTATATTTGTTTTTGTTATGGCAGATTTAAAAAAAAAGTTTTGTGGTGACATTTATCAAATAATTTTATTTTAAATACTTATAGGAACTACAGTTTTTGAATTATCTAGATACTGTATCTGAAAAATTAATATCTGGCTCATAATTTTTTTTTTTTGAGGTTTTCAAAAGTAAAGTTTAAGAGTCAAATATTTATTGTTAAAACTATAAATTTTTTTTGTGTATAATCTTCAAATACACTTATCCCTCTTTTGTGGAGTGGATACATTCCAAAGAATGCCACATAAATGTGGCATTCTTTGGAATGTATCCACTTAATAAAAAATTTGTGTAAAAAAGTACTGAACATGCATCTGTATAAAAATGCTTAATATGATTCAGAACTTGAATGGAATGAAAAAATAAGCAATTTACAAAAAAAGTGAGCTTTTTTTATTCTAGCATCATTTACTATTAACATTCATTGTATGTAAATATAGTAAACATGAGGTATCATGTGAAACATAAAATCGGCATATAGTATTTTCTGGTGTACAGTACATACTGTACTATACTGTGCTTAAAAAGATAATTGAACTCTTGATTTTAACAAAAAGAGTAATTTTTTTTACCAATAACACAATTTCCATGAAAAGTTAAATTGAAAATTTTCAAAAGAAATGTTTTTTCCCATGTAAAAAAGTTGTTCACATAAAAAAGAGAATTAGTTTTCTTCTGTCAATCCTGTTATTTCAAAGTAACATAAAATAGACTATGTAAAAAGAAAGCTAAGTGTACATTAAATAAAAATTTTTTCTGAATGTGTCAGTTATTATTATATAATAGTTTTTCTATTCATAAATGAATTTGTAGAATTTCAGAAATTTAAAACTAAATATTTCTATGTTGTTTCAAGCAAAATTATTTACTTTTTCGTAGTTCATTAAAATGTGATTTTCATAAATAATATTTGTAGAAGTAATAAAAAGTTTGCATATATTTGCATATACATTATCTAAAATTTGAAGTTACAGGATTCTTGAATATAAAAGGGATTTTTTTTATATATTTTGAATTTCTCAACATTTGAGATCAATTGAAATCTTTTTAAATTTTTTACTTTTAAATTTAATAAATGTTTAAAAATATGTTGTATTAGGCTATTTGTAATGATGATCTTATATAATATTCTGAAATATAAGTTATTAAAATGCCATTTTAAAAAATACTAAACTTAAAATAAATTATGATTTTAAAGATAATAATAAATCTGAAAGTTATGTAATTATTTTTTTTATTTCTTTTCTTTCACATGATTTTTATGGCACTTCACACATTATGAATGTATTCAAACTGGTTGAGACAAGATATTTGTGTCCAGAGCCTTCAAAAAAAGGAAAGGGGCGAGAAGCTGGGGATTTTTCTCTGGGCCTGAGAAAACTTAGGAATCTGTAGTGGTTTCTACTATAAATTAATGTTATTTTTATTTTAAAAAAGTCTTTAAGACAGAATACTTTTTTATTAATAAAGAAACAAATGTATTTCCATTCAAAAATAAATGGCAAAGGGAGCCAGCTAAGGGGAAGAGGTTTCCAGTTTGTCTTTGTGCCTCTTACAAGCTCTTGACAGCTCCTAGTGTCCTAATGAAATCTAGATATAATTTTTCTAGAACATTGTTAAGCCCATATTTATTTTCATGGACATTTGACAGACTCTTCCTTATGCTCATTTGCATAAGTCAGTTTGTTGTGTTATTTTGGAAAGTATAAATCAAATTTTATCATTTGATGATAAATATTTTTCTTAATTTAAAAATTAATAGAAATAGAGCATTGAAATGAGATTGGCAAGAAGAGAATATTATAGAGAAAACATTATGGAAATAATAACTGGTTATACTATGACAATATACTCCAAACAAAAATTTTAATAATAGCATAAATATAATTATGCTGGTGTTAAAGGTTTTGTTTGGAATATATTGAAATAATTAATTATTTTTTGTTGAGAGAGTAAAAGTTGTGCTTTTTCATTGAATAATAATAGAAAAGTAAGGATGGTTTTGAATTTATATGGGAGAGAATTGATATGAAAAATATATAGATAATAAAAGTTAGAAATATTATACAGCAAAATGAACAAAATCTTTTGTTTATTTATGTTATGTTGCAGCTAATAATTAAAATGAACTTGCATGTTCAACTTGTGTCCTAGTACTAATAGATTATAATAAAGTTTTTAAAAAAGTATTTAGAATAAATATGTACAGTTAAACATTTTTTAAATTTCATTAAACATTATGTTTCAGTAATGGAAACATGTTCTTGTGATAACAAAACTAGAACATGTGTACAATTATCATCATCATCATCATATGAGGGAAAGAAATACTCCAACTATAAATGTCAAAATACGAGGATAGCAAATTAGATCAGAATTATTCAAAAACATTTTATAAATGATTAAAATCATCACTAGAGGCCTTTTGACTACTGAGACACATTTATTAGCTTATACACTAACATTTTCAGCCTAATGTATAGGCCATCCTCAAGTGACATATTTTTGGGACATCAGTTATTTTGGAATAGTTTGTAACTGTGTTTTAAAAATGCCACTTGATGATAGCTTATACATCAAGCTTAAAACATTAGTGTATAAGCAAATAAATGTGTCTCAGTGGCTGAAAGGTTTTTAGTGATGATTTCAGTAATTATTCTTTCTGCTGAATTTGGTTGTTAACATTTTATAAAACTTTTTCATTATTTTAATGAGGGATCAAAAATTCTCAGATCCAAAAGTTAGTGAACAAAACTAAAAAAACCAAGAACATTTTTAAAATAAAATTTTTATAGTAAATTTGACAAAGATTATACCTTATGAAAAAAAGGACAAAAACACTGTTTTTTTTTTTATTAACAAAAGGCAGTCCACAACTTTGAACAATTCATTTTTACTTTCCTGACTCTGTTATATATATAACAACAGAGGGAAAGTGTGGCAATTGGTCAAAAAATGAAAAATTTGAGTGATGAAAAGTAATACTTGGTAAAATTTAATAGTTATATTCTTGATTAATTTGCTATCAAATAAATTGAATTTTGTTTTAACTTTTAGATAAATTTATCTTATCTTATTTGACATTTGAATAGTTTTTCAATCACTTTACTTCTTTTCTGAATGATAAATAAAATAAAAATAAAGTTCTACAGAGCTTGAAGTACATTTCTGTGCTCAATGACTGCATTAACCTTATTAAAGTGACTTAGATTTTTATCATTTATGTACCAATACTTTCCCAAAGATGAACCTGTAAAAGATTAAAAGAAAAAAATCATTTGATTGTAGAAAACAATAAATTGCTAGCTCCAAATAATTTATTTTATTTGTCATTTAAATGAAATATTTGATTAAAAGTCAGTTAGCCATTGTAAAGACTATTTCTGTTGTATTCAATTACTTTTAACATTTTTTATCACTTACAAACTTTAAAGGTGATGCTTCTTGTTCAATACAGAAATTACAGCTCTTTAACAAATTTAGTGTATAATTTCGTTTTTATGTGTAGCTTGAATTCATAAAAAGAAAACAAACAACATGATTATCTTAACTGCTTTTTGGCCATCTTGTATATACCATATTTAAAGCTTGTCAATATTTTTTTCATTTTAAAAGTTATATAAAAATTCTAAAAATTAGAAGATAAACTTTAATAAACAAAACATTAAAATTTTGTTTACAATTTTCTGTTATTTTATTTTTATAGGGAGATTTAGCAAAAAAGAAAATATATCCTACATTGTGGTAAGTGTAATTTTGTGTAAGATATTTAATAAAAATAATTTTCATAATACATAATTAACACAATTTTTCATGCAAAAATACTTAACTTTCCTTATTTTGTATAGTTCTACAGTAATGTTAAAAATTTTTTATTTAATACAGTATAAGCATATTGAATGTATAATATAATATAAACAATTATTATATTTAATGTATATTGAAAGTATTTTCTAAAACTTTCTTTGAAAAAGTGACATTTACATTGACTTATCGTCCTTGATTTGTCTTCATTTTTCAAGGACAATATGTGAAATGTATACAGAACTGATAAGATATATTTTAACTTATTAATAGTGATTTAAATAAATTATTGATAATTAATGTAATAGTAAATGTACTTTTTATTAAGTTATTAAAACATTTTATAAATAATTTTTTCCTGTAATTTATTTATATTAATTAATTAATTTTATATAAATTAGTGTAAAATGAATTATTT